ACCTTTTCCTAGTTCCTAGCAAAATGTAACACACACACACGCGCACTGCTCTCCAGGGTCTTTCATTGTTATCCTGACAATAATCCGCCGAGCAACTTGTACGTTTGCTTAATTCAATGGCTTTCGATAGTCAACTAACGGTCAGAGCGAAACGAGGCAAATAGCAGTTATTATGTGAGGTCCATCGCAGCCAGTTTCCAGATCATATAGTCGTTCACATGCCCGGAAAAGCACTAGACTGCAGTCTCACCCTGTTGGACATCGTCAGTAGTGCGCATCCATCGGGATTCGAACCCATGACCACCAGCGGCTTGAACCGCCAGTGAGCAGCTTATGCCACCGGGCCACGGGGTACAGCTTCGGGACCGTCATGATTTACAAGCTAACTGCGATGTAGCTTGTCTTATCCTCCACTGCCATGCAAGTTACGAAGGTTGCAGAGGACAGGATTAGCCCCGAGAAATACGACGTCTAATAACAGTAGCTATGTACGACATAGCATTTAGAAAGTATCAGGGCGGATATAACTTGATGCACTCATGAGCAGGGGATTTTGATGCCCAACAGGCTGAAGCTGCAGTCTAGTGCTTTTCCGGGCATGTGGACGACTACCTGATTTGGAAACTGGCTGCGATGGACCTCACATAATTACATCAACATCCCCTACTCATGAATACATCAACTAGCAGTTTGTTGTCTAAACATAATTCCACGTGCGCTCAGTAACCACAGTACGGAACCTCCGCCGGTTGGCTCGCTATTTTAAAAAAATTGCTTTCCTTTTGAACGCGGTATTATTTCGAGTGCCCATGGTGTGTCACGGTTGACTACTGTTTAGAATGTCACAATTACGGCTTATGTCCGTTTAAGGAGCACTAAGGAAGTACACGAACGCCCGAGTAATAATCGCCGGTATTTACTCCGCATGGTAAGACACTGTCCAGCAATGCTGATGCCATCATAAATGCAGAGGAATTGCAGGCTAAAATTACAAGACTGTGGCACAAGACAAAAGACATGCATCCATTTCCAGTGATTATTTCGCTATCAATTTGATTTCAAACAAGGCTTCCAAATGGACGACGGTCGGGAGTCTATCAGGTTCGTTTCGGCAGAGTGTTTGAAAAAGTGAAAAAAGTAACGATGCGGAGATTAAGGAAATAAATAAATTGTTTATTCCACGACGATGTGAGAGGGTCATCTGAGATTACTGCTATGCCACTGCGTATGTAGATGGGCACATCCACCGCCGCGTTTGTGCAGACGATATTTTCAAAACAATGCATAACTTACAACATCCAGTTGAAAGTTACATATAGCTGATATACACAATGTTTCGATGATACTAACAAATTGAAGAGTCTTAAGGAACATGCCCGTTCCTTGGAAATCAAGTTTGGGTAATAGCAAAGCAATATATATAACGACGGAACAAAGAGAAAAGAATGATGTAGGATGCACAGATTAGGTCTACATGGAGGTGAGTGGTGTGCCGAAGTGAAACAACTGGATGTTGTGCGTTATGTTGTAATGGCTCCAGCGAAGAAAATACCAGAACAACTGGCTCACAACTGGGTTCTGTATACTCGTATTTGTAGGCTCGATTGATGGAGGCATATCCTAGCCTAAAAGCGAATCGCTTATCAAAGGGGGAAACTGTTTGGTAGGAGGTAGTGGCGGTGGTGGGCAAGTTAGAAAAGAGGCTGACATTGGGACACATTGTGTGTTTAAGGGTGCAAGACCCCAAATATACCTCCAGCTTTGTTCTAAATTGCTTCATTATTTGAATTAGAATATCGCCATCTTCGGATCGGAGTGGTAGTTAGCAGCAGCTTTTGTGATGGTGGATAATAGGTCGATTTGCTTCCAATGACCCCAGCATCAGTTTAAATATCAAATGCAGGAGTGCGACAGTGTAGAATATTTCTCGACTGATTTAACGAGCATCTCTTAGATCCTGGTGGAGGTTGCTTAGGTGTTATCGCCCATTGGGAATTCACATGAACGTCGTTCATTCGGAGTTCCATTTTTCCTAATTGCACAGGTTACAGTTTGGTTCCTAATGGATGCCACATGATTTACGGCCTTATTGTCCGTGAAGGGGGGCACATAGTATGGAACCAGATTTTGCTGGGTTTGTAGTAGTAGCTGCGTTGTGCCAGTGTGCAACATCTTCTGACCGGATCAGGTCAGGTTTATCTTGCATTGGGTGAGCTTGTGGTCTCGGTTATGGTGAGTATCTTTATATAGGGGCAGTACTGGTGATTAGTCAACTTTTAAATGGCTGTTAAAACGATCGGTGCAAGTGTGGGAAATCTGAATACCTGAATGATTCACCTTATGTCCAAACAGCTTCTGTAGTGGTGTTTGGTCGCTTCTGACCAAAAGCTTTTTTAAACTCAGTTCTTTCAGCTATAAGCTGTTTGTTATGCACAAACTCTTCGGCCGTCGCGTCATCTGAAAATTTAAGGAGGGTGGGACGTAAGCTTTTTGTTGTATTCTTCGAGATTCTGAGACAGAAATTAGAGAAACTCATATTGCATGCTAGGAGGAGAATATTTTTATGTACTGAATCCTTTGGGTGTGTTGAAAACAATTGAATTCTTTGATCTGCGTAAACGTTCCTGAGTCTCAGTTGCTATTAATGATAAAAGAAAACCAGTCGTGTGTGGTGTGTCTAGTTTCACGTCGTTTGAGCCTTTGATTAGTTCACAAAAGTCCGGACTTGCTTGTAATTAGTCCCAAAGTTCAGCGGTTCGGTTTTCAGTAAAATTCTTCAACAGCATTGTTGGGGTTTTGCATTTAAGGTAGAAAATCAATTCTATCATCAGAGCTGATAGTTACCGGCGCTTGTTTTTTCGTCGTCTTAGCTGAAACGCTTCTCTTTTTGGTGACCTTTTCCAGAAACAACCAGCTGATTTAACCGGCTGCAGAAGTAGAAAGATCAGTGAAAAATAAGAGTTCAGTATGGATACATTGGACGCCAATCAACTCAGCTGTACTTAATAGCCCATGCGGTCGAATAAAGCGGTGATGCCAACAATGGGCAAAAAAAAACTAGGTATCAATCCCAAAAAGGGCAACTTAAAGCGCATTTCATGCAGATGCCTAAAAACAACAACTATGTGCGCAGCGTGAGTTGGCGATGAGGATAATCACCCCTTGGTGAAACTTGAATCAGGTTTTTCCCCTTGATAATTTTTGACAGAAAAAACAGAGGACGTAAACTGTGAGACGAATCAGCCATTTCTTGCCAGATTCCCAATTAAAAATTATGCAAAATCACTGATATACAAAAATCGGTCATATGAGGTCAATATCTAGCCAATCATTGGTCATTAGTCACGCCTCGCACTAACACGGTAGGTTATGATTCACAGTCAACCGTTTCTGTACACAAAGTAGTGGCCGTTCTCGATCGATGACAATGGCTTCCAATTGGCTGAGAATGTTGGGCCACTGACTGCACATGAAGACAGTGAATGACTCATCGGAAATAACTCGGTAGCCGGTGCTTATCAAGTGCCTTGTGACTGCTGAGGCAGCTCGATTTTTTAATTCACACGATTTCACCATCGTCGATACCATCCGGCTGCGCAACCACTTAGGGATTACCTCATTGATCCTGACAGCTAAACTTCCGGCAGTGCGCCCGAATTTACTGCCTCCGCAGCTACAGGTGAATTTGTATAATCAACGAAACATGCACTGCTCTGTTATCGGTGTCTTAATGAAACGCATGAGCAGAGGTCGTGTTGAAGTGAGGAACCATGTTACAGCCGATTGTACGCTATTTTCACCGAAACAATATTGCGTTTCGTGATGGTTTTCATAATATGGTTAACTCTGAATAACCGCTCGATGAAAATCCACTTATTGGAACGCTTCATGTGCGACCTCTTTTGGCCATGTCGTTAATATGCTTCATAAGCTGTATCGGATAACCGTGCGACTGTAGTGTTTCCAACAGGAAATATTTAGCTGTTTCTGTTTCCGGAATGCAACTCCTGTGGGCTCGATGATACAGTATCCGAACCAGCTTGCGTTTTTGTCATATTGCAAAGAAACACTTAAAATGCATATGCCAGTCCGTCCATGTTGCTTTTCGGTAAACTGACCTGATCGAACCATTCAATTGCCGTGTGATCAGTACGTTCATGTATGGATAACAATTGTTGCGCTCCATGTAAAACATTACTGTAAGGTTCGGTTGAATAATTCTGAGCTTCGCTGTTGCAGGCACGATATCCTCGTCGGTATGCATGCAAGCAACACTTGTATGGAGTCACCAGTTTTATGATATCATCTGTCTTCTCTTCGATAATGCCCATGAACATGTCCACCAGCAGAGGGCCTAGTGAACTACTCATCGCAACACAGTTTATCTGTCGATATGCCTTCCCTTACTAAAAACGCTGATGTTTTTCATGCGCAAAAGAAGCAGGTGATGCAACATTTTCGCGCGGAGTTGTAGTTGGATCTTATGTCATGATTTAAACTCACAGAGATGATAAACCGTCTCGTTCAGCCGGATGTTAGAGAAGAGGGACTGTAGCAGAGTTCCTCAGTGCACCACTACTGTTAACTGTGCTTGATAAATCAGTAGTTGCATTCCTCAAGTTTCTTATTTTGTACGAATATTTGCAGTACATAGATCAACATGATCTTACTCTAGCGCGAGAGGCGCACTGTGTACACCTCAAGCAATCGCTGTTAAATTTGGTGGCTGGATGATCGGTGTCAATTAGCGCCATGAATAACCTACAAATTTTTAGAAAAGCTCAAAGTCAGTTGTCCGAAGTCGTAGTGAAGTAGAGATGGGGTGTCAAATTTTCCGGTTCCTCAGATAGCAACGGTGATTTTTCGCGATTTTTAGTAAGACACTCTCAACTTAATACACTGCATTTGCTCCTACGTGACAACAAATAGCTTAAGTGTATGCATTCGACTGAGCTCCAAATATTTCGTTATTTGACCAGAAAACTTGTTCCTTTATTTAGGGAGGGATATATCTCTTCCACCTGTTTGAACGCATGTGCGTGGAGTACCCTATCCTTCTGGCAGTATTTTGTGAAACAATGTGTGTATCCTGGATTTACGGTAAGCCGGTTATTTTTTTATAACATGGACAATAATCAAACCTCACAGGTGTTGATCGATTCCGTCAAAATATCAAACGAATGCTTGGCTTTGAGCCTGGAATCTTTTGGAAAATCACCTGGAAATTCATCGCTCCTCTATTTATAATGGTAAGTGTGCGAAAATATGCAACGAAAATATGCAGCTAAAAGTCGGAGCTGTCTACAACTGGCTTCCCTCATGAAGGGTTGCACAATGTAAAATGACATAAAAATAAATTAATTTCAGATTATCACAGCTTGCGAACTTTGTTTCCTTTATGGAAGTGCTGTGGACATAATCGTTTGAACATGTGTCACAAAATTATGCGAATTTTGACAATCATACAAATATGGAAGAGATGCGATTCCGAACAATATCCTTCAGCTAGAGCAATCAAGAACTGGGAATCTAGGGACGAATTCACAATGGCTACTGCTTGTGACCTTATCACGTAATGTACCAAGTCAAAAATAAGGCTGATCCAAAGAACCCCATTTTGGGTGATGGTCATAAGCAGATTAATTATAATAATGACATGCAATCAGTCACAGACAGTGAGGATTTTCAAAGACAGCGAAGAAATGTCATATGTACATCCATCGGATACTTCTGATATTATCGTTAGTCTACACTATCACTTACAAATAAATAAATAACGCTTAATCTCGTATTGCGAGAAGCACACCTGAGGAGGTTTGATCAGTTACTTGCCAGAATATGTTTTGTGATTTATGGAGTTTTCTTTGCATCCTCAAACGTTGATCGGTTGCGCCCAAACTTTCTGCTATTTTGAGAACATACTTATAATCAATGATGATAAGGTTTCAGTTCTTCAGATAAAATATATTCGTTGAGTATTCGAAAAGAATCTCAAGTTGGCATCTAGAAGCAGCGAAACAGGATTGACATGAAATGAAAGGGAATTTCCGACAATCAACTGTACTTTGCATCAACCAATGCATAGGCTCAATCCAATTTGCAAAGTGATATCTCCGTTCCACTGGAGTAGATTACCTAGCTGATAACTTGGTTAAATCGCTCTATTTGTCAGACATAGTGGTAGCGAAAGCGGGTGAATTATCTACGAGTTTTTCACGACGGACCACAGGACAATCACAACCAAATGGTATCCACACATCGTTTAAGGATATGATTTGCTCCCAGAGAAGTGATCAGTTTTTCCGTTGCTGGATGAGGGGCTGAAAGATAGAACAATGATTTTATACGGGTAATAAAGCTAATGCTTAATAGGTCCCGTAAGATGGATATGGGAAAATTAAGAAATATAACAAAATTGTTCGCAAAATTGGGATTACATTGATGAACATACTGAAGTATACGCAGTATAAACCTTAAATCCAAGTTAAAGCCATAGCGAATGACGGCAAATTGGATGTTCACAAATGTCGTGTCTCGTTTCGGTGTGCACACACAGGAGTGGAAAAACCTGGAACAAAATCTGGGATGTGATTGCCAGTGAAATTTCTTACAGACACTTGTGCTTATCCATGGGTAATTAGTCATCTAACGTGGAGCAGGGAAATACATGTACGATCAACCCTGGATTTGAACACTGTCCGCGTTGGAGCACATATGACAGATTTCGGTAGGGTATTCCATGTTCTGTAAACGCGTAAGGAAAAGAAATTCCGACGACATTCCAAACAATTATGCTTCTGTGCCAGCTTGAGATGGTGGGCTCTAGAATTGCTGTTGTGGCTGAGCTCTAGCAAATGGAGGCACGTGTGGTCGAGATCTCTCAGAATCTTGTAAACCAAAATGAAGTCCCCGTGTAATCGTCGATACTGTCTGCTGAAGACCCGATCACTTGAAGCATTAACTTATACGGCAAATTATAGATATCCTTGACCGTTTTGTTTGCCCGGAGTTGGGTATCTCCAAGGCACTCAGTTCTCTCCTCAGCCATGGCTGCCATATTTGCATTGCGTATTCCACATGTGATCCTTAAGTATCAACCCATAGGTTGTGGAAAAATCGAAGGGTCGAATCGTCCGAATGCACGTTTCAGCAGGCCGACATGTTAGATGCACTTTCTAGACGCCGTTTCACCCCGATTCGAACATCCAAGGTCGACCTGGATAAAGACACCGAGACGCTTCTCGCCAGAAGAAGTTTGAAGCCCATGGTTGCTGGGTTCGTAGGAATGCACTAACTTGTGCCCTAGGTGCAGCACTCTACATTTGTCCACATTAAAAGGAAGTACACTCTGGATTGACCACCAGTATACCCTATCCAGATCAGCTTGAATTTCTGTAATATTATTCGATGTATTGATCGCCCTCCACACCTTGATCTCATAGGCATAAAGCAGGCAGTTAAAGCTTCTGAGGCACATGATTTCGTCAATATACATCAAAAATAATCGTGGTCCTAAGTCCGCTCCCTGTGGTACTCCGTAGTTAACTCGGATGGGATCTGACGTACTCCCAGACGCCGGTGTAGAAGAAAGCTTTTGGTTCATCCTAAGGTAGGATCACCAAAACCAAAAGTCTGCAGTTTGGAGAACAGAATATTATGATCTTACCGGTCGAACGCCTTTAAAAATTCGAGAATAACTACATCAACACCTGTGCCAGAGTTTTCTGCTTTGGTCCAGCTGGGTCGTACTTCTAGTAGATTTGTAGTGAACGGTCGATTTAGTCGGAAGCCATGCTGTTTTGGCGCGAGGTAGTTAAATTCTTCGAATTAGACAGTTAGCGCATCAGAAATAATAGCTTCCATGACCTGTGAAAGAACCGGTAGTTAGCTGGATTTGAAAGACTACATCACTTGTGACTAGGAGTAATCATCCCGTGTTTCCACATGTCAAGCATGTACATTTCTTCAAAAGAGTGTTAGAATAATCGAGCCAAAGGCTCAGCTAAACGCTCTCCTACCGAAGCTAGCGATATCGTGCATATATTAGCAACTCCAGGAGAGGTGGGCTTGCACATACTCATCAGCTTTATTTGTACAGCTTCTGCAGAGAGGGATATCTGAGTGAGTTTTTGGGGATGAAATAACCTTTGTCATAGGGTTATGTGCCCCATGCTGAGCCTGATGTTGCATTCTTGGTGCGTCTTCACTGCAGTTGGGCTAAACCAACGTACATTTAAACTGTCTTTTTGAGTTGGATAAATTTCATTCCACTTTATTTGGTTTGTTCTGCCTACCTGAATAATCTTCTATTAACTGGCCACGTTGCTTACGCTGATTGCGCTTATCTTCGGTAACTTTGTTGCGCTTGTAGCATTTTTAAGTAACTTGTGGACATTTCTTACTTATGGCGGATTCGTTGCTAACCAAGTTACTTCACATGGTAATTTAGCGAAGCGTTATGCCACCGTCTCTGTGTGCCTTATTCGAGTTAGTTTATTTCAGCTTGTCGTTTCAAGTGATTGGCTGTTGCTTGATATCCCCGATGTGGCTGCGCTTGATGTGCATGTTGACAAGGTGTCTACCTGTATATTACCCACTATCTCGTTCATACTGGCTCCAGGCGACAGTTGGTCGTTGCTAGAGGGGACCGGGTGCACGGTTCTTGTGACCGTGTTAGGATCAAAGAGTGGTTCCATGTACTCAGTGTGGAGGGGACTACGGTCCAGCCACCGCCTTGTGTGCGCTTGCTTCCCAAATACAGCGTGCTTGTGTTTGCCTGTGAAGGAGTGTGGGCCAACTCCATTGATGCAATGTGGCTCCTATCCACATGCCTCCCGGTCTTATTCCATCGGGTCTACACTGGATATGGGGTGTGTGTGGTTGGAGCTGTGGGTGGTGCAGCGCAAGCAAACCATGGTTCCTCTTTAGGCGCATGTGTCCTGTGGCTGGCCACAGTGACATGGAAATCCGAAACTGGATGCCGCCAACCACCATGTGGTTAATGATCGCACTGAAACGTGGCAATATATTGTAGGCGCGGGGTATTCGCCACCTCCTTCGGCGTCCGTGGGGTCTGTCTGCTGTTTGTAGGGGAGGAATTCCCCTTTTCACTTTAAGTAGTCTGTTGACGTGTTGATACAGAAGCTAGTGAGTTGAGGCCATACGCATTGCCAAGTTCTGCTGGTACGCCATTCTATCCTCCCGAACAAGATGATTAGATTGGTTACATTAGGTCGCATAAACCATCCAGTTTTCGGTGCTCGGAGAGAGTTTGCAGATAAGCCAGGTTGGGTTTCGCACCGTTATACCCTTGCGTGTTCTACTTGACAGCAACGAGACCACGTTTCTCGGGCGGAAGGTCTTACTCGCTAACGCTTCGGCAAACAGAGAGTTAAACTAGCTGAAGAAATGTTCCCATGCACTAGCTGGTGCCTCGTCTGCCAGATATGTCTAGTGGGCTGTCTCACCTAGTCGAGCTAATACGTCACAGTCGTACAATAGTTTTTGTTGCGTCAGCGATTTCCACGGTGTATTCTGCATCGTAAATTTATTCCAAGGATAGGAACACCTGGTCGCTGCGACCCAAGGAGACGTCGAGATTTACCCTATGGACCAGTAATTCTTCGTTGTTGTATATCCGATCCAGTATTGATCCTTTATCCTTTTCTCGGAATCGGGTGGAGTGTTGCTATGGTCATACAGCGGGTAACGGGAGACAAACTCTTGTAGACCCGTCTTGAACTGTTCTCCGGGAGCTGCTTCGGATTCCAGAGGCTGGATGTTGAAATTTCCAGTAATAAGAATGTGACTGTAAGTTGTGTTTATCACCCTCCTTATTGCGGATGCAAGATAAAGTCCATCTCGGGCGTGGAAGGAGGACCTTAAATGACCGCCACTAAGCAATTATCGTCGTCTTTTAAACGTAGACGGTACCAAAGAGGATCTTGTACCATGCTGACCAGATCATCTATAAGGTCACATTGGAGGTCGTTGCAGAAGTACAGAGCCACCCCTCCACCTTTGCTACGTCAGGCTTGCGGAACAATGGACATGCCTGGCAATGCGATCTCCATGTCACTTATATCAGGGCGTAACCATGTCTTCGTTATAGCGATGAGGTCGCAGACTTTTGATTCTTGACGCAGCCGCTTTTCGGAATGTTTAATCGGTAAGCATAAGTAAGCCATGGTTGCAGCTAGCCAGTGGATTTTCAGACATTGACATTAAGGCTTCGCCTTGAGTGTCGC